TCTTTTACAGTTATTTCTTTTACAGTTATTTCTTTTACAGTTATTTCTTTTACAGTTATTTCTTTTTCAGTTATTTCTTTTACAGTTATTTCTTTTACAGTTATTTCTTTTACAGTTATTTCTTTTACAGTTATTTCTTTTACAGTTATTTCCTTTATAGTTATTTCCTTTATAGTTATTTCCTTTATAGTTCTTTCCTTTATAGTTCTTTCCTTTATAGTTATTTCCTTTATAGTTATTTCCTTCATAGTTATTTCCTGTATAGTTATTTCCTTTATAGTTATTTCCTTTATAGTTATTTTATAGTCATTTTGTAGTTCCGTATCATCTGGTGGTCACTCAGCCTTCTGGCAACTCTGACTTTCTTTTCGTCTCTTGATGGGATTACCGGCTCAGTGGTTCCTCCGATTAAAGCGCGTTGGCAAGACTTTAGCAACTTGGAAATTCAGTGGTGTATGTTGAGTAGCACCTCCTTATGTCCCACCACTAGACTACGTTGAGGTACGTTGTGGTATGGAAGTCTGTCACATAAAAAGTATCAAAATTCAGATTCATTTATGCAGGAATGCATAAAAAGAGTAGTAATAAGAATCCACGAAATTCATCAGCCTCATGAAACTGCTAATCCTTTGTTTGTGGTCAACTTTATTCGGAGTGCTTTCAAGTTATTGAGAAAATTAAACTTTTATCATCGTTTTTTTTTTTGAGATGAATTTTGCTCATGTTGATTCGCTGCCACGCCGAGCTATATCATTGCCTGCAATTCCAACCTATGCCTTACGTTATATCGACAGCGACGATGAACTATTCAATGTACAAGCTGTAAGTAGTATTGCGCTCACTTGGCTCATGCCAAGATTCGCGAAAAAAGTGAAGCACAGTCGTAATTTGCGTAATTTAAAGTGATATAGCTAATTTTTTCACGCCATTGTTTTCTGATTTTGGTATCTTTCCACTCATTTTATTAATAAACACCCAGCTAGTAGTGCCTGACCGTTTTACTGGGCCTCACGATGGTAACGGGTATTTGGGCTTCTTGGGTCAACGGTCATTGAAAACTTGGTTCTCCAGCTATGCAACTGACCACTATTCCAGTTGCTTTGACCAGTGCTACAATTATCTGCTGGCGATCTTTGCTTTGTTTTGTCCCCTGAAGGAATTACCAACTTCCTCCAGTGAAAGCATTTGGCGAAATTTAGCAGTTTCGAAATGTCCTTGATGTGTATTTGATGCCATCATCTCACAGTTAACGTTGGCGCGAACTTATCAACTAAGAATTTTTATTAAATAACAAAATAGAAGTTGGCAGCAAAAGTTAGATAAACAAATGGGGATGCTAAATTTGAGGCAAGACTTTTTGAGGATTTTTGCTGTGGTTCTCATTTACGCATATTTGTCTGGTAGTAACGTAAGACACTTCGATCATGTACATCACATTGTGCAAAAATGTATAGCCAAAGTGGAAATCTGTCTCCGTATATCTTTTTCTTTGAGAGATGGGCACACAGAAATGGCATGACCACTCGTTGTGAAGTTCCCTCTAACAGAGAACACTTCCCTCTTTTGAGGATTTCTTGAAAATCGTTTACTTCTGATGGAATTCATATCAAAAATTTTGCAGGTTAAAGCTGCAGCCAATGAACTGCAAGTGTCTGTTGCTAAAAGTCGAAGTATGGGTGAATTCTTGCATTCTCCAGTAAACGATATAACAAAAGAGCAAAAGTATACTGCAGATGTTGGAACTGTAACGCAGACACATCCAGATCCAGTAATTTACTTTTTTTTTTCCGCATAACTATCTCTTTTTTTTTTTTTTGTTTAATTGATTCAAGATACTCGATTTTTGTGGGTATTTGAAGTTTGACTGTACCACGCAGTATTTCTCGGTGTCTTTCATCTATCACTGTCTTCATTTGAGGCAGAAGCAGGTGGGAGTAGTTTGATTGGTAAAATAAACCAATGACAACCGCTCCCTGAAAAAAACTGTTGATAGCCTCTTTTTTTGAGATTTGTTTAGAAAAAGGATAGTGGCGGATTTGATCCCCTTCCATGAGCCTGTACCTCTACGCTATCTAGACGAAAAAAAAAAAAACGAATGAGTGAATGAATAGCATGTCCCATTGGCGAAGTGGAATTCTTAACCTTCATCACTAGAACAGCCCTAGTTGCCCTACAGCTGTTTACTGCTTAGCAAAGAGCTGGATTTGAGATTTTAGAATCTTCACCAAAGAATTGCTCTCTGTGTTCAAATATTTCAGGGATTATCAGCTAACGGTGATTTAGCGCGAGACAATGCAACAAAACAACTTCTTTCAA